TGTATATAAATCAAATTATTAATAAATATTTTTATAAAGATATATTTATTTTTAGGTTTTTAATATTTTATATAAACGCTTAGATTTAATTAATTAAGTTGATTTGCTGTATCATCTATATTGTTAGTTAGAAGAGATCTATCTAACTTCTGTTTATACTCTTTTTGCTCCACCAAAATATAAATCTTCTTTATTAGAATTCAAAGAAGAATATGGAAGAGGAATGTCATTTCTAATTGAGTAAGGTTTTTTGATATATTAATTTGTGTTTTTAGAATCTCCAATGAAAGGATTCTTAGCGCTATAAATATCTCTGTGAGGAATAATTATATTACTGTATTAGATATCATTCTCTTAGTCTTTATTTCTTTCATAATATGAATGTCTATCTCTTCTTTTACATTCCAATTATGTCGGTTTGCTAATATAATTTAGATTGTAATGATTATCCTAGAAGAGCTATCTATCTATCTGTATTAGTAATTTTGGAAGTCTTCAGATATTTTTCTTTTTCTTAAATCCAAATTAGATCTAGATGGGATATTTTGTTATGATTGATAGGATAAGTTTTATCTTGAATTTAGATTATTCAATCTTCTCTGAATATTTTATTCAAGCAGTAAATCAAATCTTTGATATTTCTGAGGGTTGGTGTTTGATAAGTTAATACCTATCTAGTTATTAGGAGTAAATTTTTTAATCTCCTATTAGCTATTAGTATTGTATGAAGGTTTAGGTAACCTTCCTTTCTTAAAGATTTTTCTTATTAGCAGGAAACTTTATTTAATCAAGTACACTTAGTTTTTAGTTGATTGCTTGAGCATTAAAGCCTTCTTTTGAAAAGGTTTCTTATTTTATATTTAAATCTTCTATTTTTTTCTTTATAATAGGAAGATTAAGTTGTTAATCACAATCAGGTCTGTCTTGTGAGCTAATTAACATTAAGACATTAGCTTAAATATAAGGTTACTCAACTCACTAGAATATCTATATTTTAGGAAAATAAAATTTATTTAACATAATTAATCAAATAAGTTAAATTTTTAAATATATAGGGTTCGAAATTGATTCTTTGACAGTTAATAAAAATTATATAGAGCAAAGATATTTATTAAAAAAATACTTTAATCAATATTGTCAAAAAATGAGTACTGGTTAAATTTAAAGGAATTATTTTGTTTGGATAAATTTAAATTAATTTTTTTTATATTTAATATGCTCATTATTAAATTACAAAAATAAAATATTTATAAAAAGTAAATTAATAATAAATATATTTATTTATTTAAATATTTATTTATCTTTATTTTAGGTGAAATTAATCTATTACAAAATATAATAAAATAAACAAATTAAATTTTGTTATTTAAATATGTTAGAGTTTATTTATTTTTTATTCACTATTTTTTTATCAATTATAGTAAATTATATCAAAGACAACTAATCTTTTTGATTTACGGCAATGGTGAACTACTTTCTTTTATTATTTAGAATCGATATTGTTTTCGCTTTTAATATAAATTAGGGTAAATTGCTAAAAATTTTTAAATAGAAAGAAAGAAAAACATTCTCATAATAAAAAATAATAAAAGTAAATCAAATAAAAAGCTAATTAATTGTTTAAAAGAACCATATTTTTTTAAATTCATTTTTATTCATTTATTTCAAAAAATATCTCAATCCAAAACAAATAAAGTGTTTTTACTTAAGATCAAGTCTCAAATTTAAGAGTTTAGTGTATGTTGCTAAAGCAGAACCTAAGCCTGATGCACCCATTGCACCAATTTAATTTTCGCTTTTTATATATTAATTAAACATATAATTAAAATGAAATAATAAGAAGAGAATTAATTAATAATAAAATCTAATTTAAAAATAAAAATTGACTTAAATTAAAAAAGAAAGAAAGAAGAAAAAAAAAACAGGCATAAAAAAAATATAATTCAAAAAAAAGCTAAAAAATAAATTAAAAGAATTATATTGTTTTAAATTCATTTTTATATTAATAAATATCTTAATTAAAAACAAAAAACTGTTTTTACCCTAGATCAAATATCAAACTTGAGAGATTAGTACACTTTGCTAAAGCAAAGCCTAAGTCTGAAACACTTTCATCACCAATTTTATTTCCACTTTTTAAATATTGAAGAAAAAAAAAATAGTTAATTAATTAGTTAAAGGAAAAAATTAAAAAAAAAAAAGTTGAAAATGAAAAATTTATTTATTAATTAATAGTTAAATTAGCAAAAAAATAAAAAAAACACAAGCAGGAAAATGAAAAAGAAAAATAAACCAAATAAAAAGCAAATAAATAAATTTAAAATTTTTATTATTTTTAAATTCTTTTTATTTTCAAAAATATCATAATCCAAAATAAATAAATAAATAAATAAATTGTTTTTACTAAAGCTCAAACTCCAAATTTAAGAGATTAGTGCAATTTGCTAAAGCAGAACCTAATCCTGATGCACCAACTGCACCAATTTAATTGCAACTTTTTAAATATTGAAAAAAAAATAAATAAATAATTAATTAGTTATTTAGGCTGAAGAAAAAAGATGAAATAATAAGTAATTAATTAATTAATTAATAATAAAAGCAGAAATTAAAAATGAAAAATTAGCTAAGTTAACAAAGAAAATAAAAAAACACTGATAAAATAAAATAGAAAATGAAAAATAAGTCAAATAAAAAACTAATTAATTAATTAATATAAAAGTTTTATTGTTTTATATTTATTTTTAATAAAAAAATATCACTATTCAAAATAAATAAACTGTTTTTACTTAAGATTAAGTGACAAATTAGAGAGATTAGTGCATTTTACTAAAGCAGAGCCTAAGCCTGATGCACCAATGGCACCGATTTTATTGGCCCTGTTTAAATATTGAAGAAAAAAATATAATTAATTAGTTAATTAGAAGTATAAAATGAAGAAAAGATATAAAATTATGAGAAATAAATTAATTAAATATTAAAAGCAAAAGTAGAAAGAAAATGGAAAAAAAAGTTAAATTAGCAAAGGAAAAAAAAAAGCAGAAAGAAAAAGAAAATTAGATATAATAAAAAATAAGTTAATAACTAAATAAAATAAAAGTGTTAAATTAATTGTTTTAAATTCATTTTTTTAAAAATCACAATCAAATATTAATAAACTATTTTTACTAAAGATTAAGTGCCAAATATGAGAGATTAGTACAATTTTCTAAAGCAGAACCTAAACCTAAAGTGTATTTATCACCAATTTAATTTTCCCTTATTAAATTTTTAAATAAAATATAATTAAAAGTTATCTAAAAAAAACATAAAGATATAATTTGAATTAGTAAAAAATGAAGGAATTAAATAATAAAACAAAATATTATAAATAAAAGAATGAGCTAAATTAATAATGAAAGAAAGAAAGAAAGAAAACGACAAAAGCAGATTAAAAAACAAAAAATAAAATTAAATCTAATAAATAAAATAAAAAAGTTAGTTATTTTATATTTAATTCATTATATTGAAAGATATCATAATCCAAAATAATTAAACTGTTTTTACCTGAGGTCAAGCTTAAAATTTGATAGATTAGTGCAATTTACGAAAGCAGAACCTAAGTTTGATGCGCATTCATCACTAATTTCATTTTCTCTTTTTATATATAGAAGAAAAAAATATAATTAACTTGTTAGTTAAAGGAGTGAGTAAATGAAGAAAAAATATAAAATAATAAGAAATGAATTAATTAATATTGAAGGAAGAAATTGAAAATTAAAAAAAAAAATTGACTAACTAGTTTATTTATCTTTGAAAGAGAAAAAAACATAACCAAGAATAAAAAAGAAAACAAAAAATAAATCAAATAAAAAGCTAATAACTAAATAAATATTAAATAAATCAAATAAAAGTGTTAGTTTTAAATTCATTTTTATATTAAAAACTACCTCAATCCTAAACAAATAAGCTTTTTTACCTTAGAAAAAGCGTCAAACTTGAGAGAGTAGTGTATTTTGCCAAAGCAGAAACTAAGTCTGATGCATTTTCAGAACCAATACAATTTTCGCTTTTTAAATATTGAAGAAAAAAATATGATTAATTAGTTAGCTAGTTAAAAAAGTAAATTAATTAAAAATTAAAGTAGAAATTTAAAATAAAAATTAATTAAATTTGCTTTGAAAGAAAAAAAGAAAAAGAAAAATAAATAAAATGTAAAGCTAATAAATAAATAAATAATAATTAAATAAAAGAATTTTTTGCTTAATTTCATTTTTAATATTAAAATATATCACTTTCCAAAATAAATAAACTGTTTGTTTTTACCTAAGATCGAGTATCAAATTTGAGAGATTAGTGTAGTTTTCTAAATTAGAACATAAGCCTGATATACCTTTATCGGTTATTAATTCATTATGCCTTTTTAAGAAAATAATTAATGAGCTATTTAGAAGGAAAAACAAGTAATATAAAATAAATGTAAAAATAGAAAATGTCAAATTAGTTAAATTAATAAAGAAAGAATAAAACTCAAGCAAGCAGAATAAAAAAGGAAAATAAATCAAATAAAAAGCTGATAAATAGATTAAAAAAATTATATATATTGTTTTTAAATTCATTTTTATATTAAAAAATAAAATAAATATCTTAATCCAAAATAAATAAATAAACTTTTTTACTGAAGATTAAGTTTCAAATTTGAAAGAATAGTGCAGTTTGCTAAAGCAGAACCTATGCCTGATGGGCCTTAATCACGAATTTTATTCCTACTTTTTAAATATTGAATAAAAAATTATTATTAATTATTCAGCTAGAAGGAAAAAATGAATAAGATTTAATAAGAAATTAATAATAAAAACAAAAGTTGAAAATAAATAAATAAATAAAATAATGTATTAAAAAATTAAGAAAAAAACAGAAAAGCAAAACAGAATAAAAAGAAAAAGTTTCAAATAAAAGATGATAAATAAATTAAAAGAGTTAATTAAATTCATTTTTATATTCAAAATATTACAATCCAAACAAATAAATAAATAAATTGTTTATACCTAAGATCAAGACTCAATTTTTAGAGATTAGTGCACTTTCCTAAAGCAGAACCTAGGCTTGATACACCTTCATCACCAATTTAATTTTCGCTTTTTAAACATTGAAGAAAAAAAATATAATTAAATAAATTATGAAGAAAAAATATGAAATAATAAGAAATGAATATATTCAATAATAAAAGCAAATAAATATTGAAAATGAAAAAATAAAAATACAAACAAGCAGATAGATTAATTAAAACACAAAATATTAAATAAATAAAAATTTGGTTCATTTATTAAAAAATTTATTTTGTTTTATATTCATTTTTATAATTAAAAAATATCGAAATCCAAAACAAACAAACAAATAAACTGTTTATACTTAAGATAAAGGGTCAAATTTGAGAGATTATTGCAATTTGTAAAAGTACTACCTAAACCTTAAGCACCTACATCACAAATTTTATTATTACTTTTAAAAAAATTGTAAGAAAAAATAATTAAATAATAAAAAATAACAAAATTAGTTAAATTAAAAAAAAACACAAGCAGAATAAAAAATAAATAAACCAAATAAAAAGCTAATAAATAAATAAATAAATGAAAAAATTTAGTTATAGATAGGGTGTTTGTTGTTGAATTAAAAATTTTGTTTTTTTTTAATTTTTGAATATGAACCTCTTCCTTAAATAATAAATAGCTAAAAATTTTCAACAACACCCTCTTTATTATTTTTAAATTCAATTTTGTATTAAAAATATAACAATCTAAATCAAATTAACTGTTATTACCTAAGGTTAAGTTCTAAATTTGAGAGATTATTGTAATTTGCTAAAGAAAACCCTAGTCCTGTTGCATAAATTTAGTTGTAACTTTTATTAATTAGTTTTTTTGTTAAAAGGAAAAAAGGAAGAAAAGATATGAAATATAAGAAACGAATTAATTAATAAAAATAATAGATAAAATAAATAGTTAAATTAACAAATAAAGATAAAATAATGCAAGCAAGCAAACATAATAAAAAAGCCAAAGAAAAATAAATCAAATAAAAAGCTTATAAATAAATTAAAAGAGTTTTTTTTTAAATTCATTTTTATGTTAACAAATATCACAAACAAATAAACTGATTGTTTTTACCTAAGATCAATAGTTAAATTTGAGAGAGTAGTGCAGTTTGCTAAAGCAAAACCTAAGCCTGAAAAACCTTCATCACTAACTTAATTTAATCTTTTTACAAAGAAAAAAATATTATTAAATATTAGTTAGAAGGAAAAATGAAGAAAAAATATGAAATAATAACAACTAAATTAAATTAAATAAAATAAAACTAAAGTTTAAAATGAAAAAATTAATTAATTAGTTAATTAATTAATAATGTTAAAAATATTTTCTTTAAATAAATTTGAAAAATAAAACTAAAACAAATAAAAATCTAACAAATAAATTATAAGATTTAGTTAGTTATTTAGTTATATTGTTTTAAATTCGTTTTTTTATTAGAAAATATCGCAATCCAAAACAAACAAATAAACTGTTTTTACCTAAGATCAAGCGTCAAATTTGATAGATTAGTGCACTTTTCTAAACCGGAAATTAAGCTTGATATACTTTCATCACCAATTTAACTTCGACTTTTTAAATATTAAAAAAAAATATATTTAATTAATTTGGTAGATAATTCTAAAGAAAAAAAAATATGAATTATTAAGTAAAGAATTAGTTAAATGATAAAAGAAGAAAAATTTGAAAATGATAAAATTAGTTAATAAAAAAGGAAAGAAAAAAACAAGCAAAATAAAAAGAATAAGAATAATAAATAATTCAAATAAAAAGCTAATAAATTAATAAATAAACTAAAAGAGTTTTTTTATTTTAAATTCATTTTCATATTAAAAAATAAATAGCACAATCTTAAAAAAATAAACTGCTTTTACAAAAGAAAAATTGTCAAATTTGAAAGATTAGTGCACTTTGCTAAATCTGAACCTAAGCCTGATAAACCTTGATAGCCAATTTTATTTTCACTTTTTAAATATTGAAAAAAAAAAAAATATTATTAATTATCTAGTTAGAAGTAAAAATAAAGAAAAAATATGTCAAATAAAATAAAATCAAAAGTAAAAATAAATTGATAAAATTAATTTAATTAACAAAGAAAAAAAACAGAAGCAGAATAAACAAGAAAAAGAAAAATTAATTAAATAAAAAACTAATAAATAAATAAATAAATAGATAAATTAAAAGAGTAGTTATATTAATCCATAATAAATAAATTGCTTTTACGAAAGATTAAGCATTAAATTTGAGAGATTGGTCAACTTTACTAAAGCAGAACCTAAGCCTAATACACCTTCATTGCCAATTGAATTATAACTTTTAAATATTGAAAAAAATATATATTGTTCATTTGTTAGTAAAAAGGAAAAAATAAAGAAATAATTTGAAACAATAAGAAATAAGTTAATTAAATAAATAAAAAAAGAAAAAGTTGAAAATAAAAAAATAAATGAATTAAATTAGCAAATAAATAAATAAATAAAAAATAGCAGAAATTCAAAGAATAAAAATAACAACCAAATAAAAAGCTTATAAATAAATTAATAAATTTTTATTATTTTAAAATTCATTTTTATTTTAAAAAATATCACAATCTAAAGCAAATAAACTATTTTTACCCAATAATAAGTTTCAAATTTGAGAGATTGGTGCAATTTGCTAAAGCAAAACCTAAGTCTGATGCTCCAATTGCATCAATTTAATTCATACTTTTTAAATATTGAAGAAAAAAATATAATTACTTAGTTACTTAGTTAGTTAGTTAGTTAGTTAGTTAGAAGGAATAAATGAATAATAACTTTGAAATAATAAGAAATTTATGAAATAATTAATTTAATAATAAAAGCAAAATTTGAAAATAAAAAATGAATGGGTTAAATTAGCGAAGAAAGAAAAATACAATCTAAAACAAATAAACTATTTTTACTTAAGAATAAGTGACAAATTTTAGAGATTAGTACATTTTGCTAAAGCAGAACATAAGTCTGATGCAATAATTGAAAAAGATTTATAGCAACTTTTTAAGTATTGAAGAAAAATATATTATTAGTTAGTTAATTAGAAGGAAAAAAAAGATTTAATAATTAATTAAATAATAAAAGCTATTTTTAAAATCAAAAAATGAGTTAAATTAACAATGAAAAAAAATCAGAAGCAGATTAAAAAAGAAATGCAAAAATAAATCAAATAAAAAGCTAATAAATAAATAAATAAAATAAAAGAGTTTTATTATTTTAAATTCATTTTTATATTAAAAAATAGTACAATCCAAAACTAAAAAATTTGTTTTACCTAAGATTAAATGTTAAATTTGAGAGATTAGTGAAACTAGCTATACCAGAAGCTAAACTTGATGCACCTTTAACACCAAATTTACTGTTACTTTTTAAATATTGAAGAAAGAAATATAATTAATTATTTAGAAGGAAAAATTGAATAAAAATTTAAAATAATAAGAAATTAATTCATTCATTAAATAATAAAAGCAAAAGATGAAAAAGAAAAAATTTGATAAATTAACAAAGAAAAAACAAAAAAACCATATTATTAAAAAAGAAAATGAAAAATAATCAAATAATCAACTAATAAATAAATAAATTAAAAGAGTTAGTTTTTTGTTTTTAAATTCATTTTAATATTTAAAAAATATCACAATCTAAAACAAATAAAATAACTATTTTTACTTAAGAATAAGTGAAAAATTTTAGAGATTAGTACATTTTGCTAAAGCAGAACCTAATTCCTATGCACGTTCATCATCAATGTAACAGTTACTTTTTAAATATTGAATAAAAATGATAATAAATTAGTTAGTTAGTTAGTTAGAAGGAAAAATTGAAGAAAAAATATAAAAAGATAAATAATAATATTAGTAAATTAAATATACTTACTGATTATCAAAGCGACAATGAAGATCTTAGTGCTATTAAAGTGAAGAATTTAAAAACTTTTTTATTAATAAAATTAAATTTAAATAATATTAATAAAAAAAATAAATATTTACTTTTTTTAAATCGTAAAAATATTTTTTCTAATATATCATTTTTTTTTTTTTCACAGCTAAATAAAATATTGAATCTTAATTTATGAAAATTTAATTAGTTATAAGTATTCCTTGCTAAACCTGTAATTTTAATATCGCATATAAACTGTGTTTTTAAGTAGGTATGTAGGTAGGTAGGTAGAGATGACAATATTTTATTTAATTCATTTTTACATTTTAAGTTATTTTTTTTCATTTTATATTTAATTATTTTTATGTTTTTATTAAATTCTAACAAATTTTTTATTCTATTTACTCAAATTTTTAACCCAAACAATTTTTGCACATACTTTTGAAAAAATGTTGTTCTTTAATACAATTTTATCCTAATTTATGAGAATTTATAGTCTGTTTTACATCTATCTATCTATCTATCTATCTATCTATCTATCTATCTATCTATCTATCTATCTATAAAAATAAAATCTGAATTCTAAATTGTATTGTATCTAGATTTTTTCAATATGTATGTTTGTTTAAGAAATTTCTAAAAAAGAAAAATTATTTTATATTCACACTAAAACAAAATATTAATTTCCGAATTTTAAATTTGGATCAGAGAAAGTTCATTATAATTAGGATTGGATGAGAAACGAGTGTTTTTTTAAATCAAATTTAAAGAGGATTTTAATTGATAAAGTAAATTAATTATAAATTTTTGAAGGATAAAATTTACAAGGGGTTTGTTTTATTTCATTAAAATTCTAAAATTTTTATTTATCATCTTCTTGAACAATAAATAAATTACATTTTTAAACTGTGGTATTATTTTTTTAAATTTATTAATTATTTTGTATTAGAGAAATTTATTTATTATTTGGTAATTAAAATTAATTTAATTATTATATTTTTTTATAAATAAAATATTTTTAAATTTAATTTCATAAATAAATGATTAATTAATTATTTATTATTTTAATTATATAATTTACAAAAATCATTTAAGTGATGAAATTCAAATTTATATTTTTAATAGAGATTCTATAAAACATTTTTTAATCCTTAAATCGTTTTCTAAATTGCAAAGATATTTCTGATTATTTTTCAAATGATTTTCATAAAATCTTTAAATATTTTTAGTATTATATAGCTTAAAATGAATTAAGATTTACTTAATAAAAATGATACATTTTTAAAGCACTATTGATAAAATTTTTTTCCTTATTTGAATAATTAATACACGTTTAGAGAAGCAATTTTTTGAGCTTAAATTTTGTTGAAATAGTTAATTAAATATTTTATTAACTTATGCAATTTGGTAATACGTTTTGATAAATTTCTAAGAAATTAGGAAAGTAAATTTTTCTATAGCTATTTAATTAATTATTGCTGATAGAAAAATTAACTAATGAATTCTTATAAAGATTTATTTTTTGCATATATTTATTTGTAATACGGGTATATAACAAAGTATATCTGGTAAAATCGAATCTAATTTTTTAATAAGTAAATGAATTTATTTAATTTATAATGATTGCAAAAATTTATTCATTTCTTTCTAGATTTATTCTAAAAAGGATTGATTAAAGAAACTTAAATATAAGACCAATTAATATTTATAAGCATTCATTCATTTAAATAATTAAATTTAAGAAAAACAAACAAGAAATAATAAAAGAAGAAACATTTTCAATATAAAATAAATAAATATAATGGGAGATTATTGTTAAAGCGACTTTTCAAGCTTCGAAAGCATTGAAGTAATTAAGAAATATAAAACAAAAAGAACATCTTCAAAGATAATGAAGAAAGAGAAGAATTCTGTTTCCATCTAAAAAAGAAAATATTAGAAAAAGAAAAATATTACAGCGCTGTCAATGGATAATCATTTTTTAAATTTAGCAAATACAATCTTGCTGGATAGTTGCTTGTAAGTTACGGATGGGATTTTAAGATTTTTACCTTGCATAAATTAGCTCAGTTTTAATTTCTAGCATTAAAAAGTGTTGAGAATAGAAGAAAAACACGATCTCGAGGTTGTCAATGTTTCGTTTTAAAAATCTAACTATCAATTTAACAAATAAAAAGGTTAAGTTATAAAACTTTTAAATTAAATGAGTAATATCAATGGTTATTGTCATAGGGAGATATATGATATAATTGAAAGATACCTCTTTATAATAGATGAATTGATGGAAAAAAATGCAATGTACTATTCTAATTGTGTTGAAATGGAAAAAGGGAACGAATTAAATTAATTTGTTGATGTCTGCTTCTAGAAGATTTAATAAATTAAATAGGAAAATGAATCATAGTTTTTTTTTTATTAAATATCTAAACTTGATATGGAGAAAAAAGAATAAGACATCATTCATATGGGATATTCAAAATAATATTTAGATTTATTAGGATTAGATAAAGACGCTGTTTCACAAATATTTCTGAGAAATAAGAAAATAGATCTTTTCTAGAATTTATAAGATGTATCTAAGTAGGCTTTGAAAGGAATTTTTAATTTTGTGGATGCAGCTACAGAAAACAGACTAAATAAATAAGAATAGTTTGAATCAAATATTGTCACATTTGATGGATATCCAATCAAGATCTTTCAAAAGAAATAATCAGCTTGTAACATCCAAATTTAGGAAGAAAAAAATAACAATTAAAATTGCTAATTTCTTTTAACAGTTGTAGATATAGATATAGAACTTGAGAGCTTGTAACAGCTAATATAATATCGTTAAAAAATCTCTTAATAATCTAATTCTTAAATAGACACTGATTTTATAAGAAGAGAGAATTCCTACTTATTCGAAGATGTTGAATATTCTGTCGAATCTTAGTAATTCATAGAAAAGTTTTATGGTTAAAACCTATTAAATCTCCAATAAATTCAATTATAAAATGATGAAAAGAGTAAACAATGTTGCTATAAATTCATTAATTAATCATGAATTATAAATATATTTTTTATTTGTCAAATATTTTATTCATTATTATGTAAAATAGATATTTTTTTTATTGTGAAAAATTATAATTATCTTTAAATTTATAAATTGTAATACCATAAATCATTCATACCCTTTATTTAATAAATATTGCCATATAAAAATAAATAATAAAATTTTAAATTTAATTTTCAAACCTGTCAATCAAAATTCAGGATTTGCAAGCAAAAAATTTTTAAAAAGTTCTTATTAATAATATTTTAAATCAAAATCTATTTTTAAAATTTTCATCCTATTAAAAAATAAAGGCATTTCTAAAAAATAGTCTTCACTAGATTTTAGAAAGGCATTTAGTTTTAGTTAATTTAATGAGAGAAAAGAATGGCACGCACTTAAATCAAATAAATGAAAAAACTAAACTTTTAAATTATGTTGAGAGCTTTATTGAATTTAAATTAAAATAACTACACACACATTATTCATTATAAAATAAATATAAATAATTTATTTAAAATAGACTTTATGAAAAATATTGTTTGAATAAAAAACTTATTTTTGTATAATTTATTTTATATTATTAATTGCAAGGTTTTTAATTCACTGCTAATTTTATTGTAAAAAATTCTATTTTAAAATTGAGTTATTATAAAGGGGACTATTAGTTGAATCTAGAAATGATTTCACAGTTATTGAGGAATTTGTTTTACTACCTTTGAATATTTGTAAAGGGTTGTGTATTTTTCTTTGCATTAATCTTGAATTATTTTTAATTAATTCAATCTAACTTTAATTTATCATAGACATATTTTGATTTAGTTCTATATATTTGTTGTTATTATTATTTTAGTTTTATTAAAATTGTTATGGAGGATAAGAAGGTGTTTGCTAAGTTTCGTTTGTGTAATTAGGTAAAAAATTATTTTATACTATATCTTTTAATTTACTATTTTATTAGCTAATTTTTATTTATTTATAAGAAGAAGATTTTTACAATATTTTGTTGTTGTTGTTAGTTTCTGTCATATTTATGTTCTAATTAGGATTAATATTAAATTATTAATTTCCACTGCTTTTTATTTCACTAAAATTAGTTAAAGAAAAAGATACTTTTCCTTAGTTTGCGTATCTATTTTTAATGCTTAAGCTGTTCTAACTCAAATTTTATGGGTTATTTAGTTTAGTTACTGGCGAAACTGATGAGTTTTATTATAAATATGGAGCTTTTTGATTCTAAAATGAGGGTGCAATATCAAATACAAGATGAGATTATGTTTTTCTATGCTTGAAAAAGTAAGACTGCTTTAACTCATCTGACTTTTTATTGAATATTGTTTGTGAGTCTGAGGATTTGTTGTTTTCTTAATTAGTTTATTAAATTTTTGGAGAAATATTTTGGGATTATGTTAATGCGGTATTGCTTTAAGACTTTATTAGGAACATTTTTTGCAATTATCTAGGAATGCTATTGGCTGTATTGTTTCTTCTCTCAGTTATATTCGGTGTAATGAAATTAGATTTGGAAGAAGTTTATTGTTTTTCTTTTTATGAAAGCTGTTCAGTATAGTTTTCTAAGTGTTCTAAATTGGATTAAACTTATATTTCAGAAGTGCTACTTTGGGTTTTAAATGGAATCAGTTAACTTTAATCAGTTGAAATAATTAAATTGCTATTTTAAGTTTTCAGCTGAAGTTGTTAAAACATATCATTCACTGCATTGAAATCCTGATTTTATCTACAAGACTAATAATTTATGATATTAAAATTTAAGAATTAGTCATTATTTGGTGAAGGATTAAGCTTTAAATGAATTAAAGCAGATTTATTTCTCTATTTTGGTCTAATCTTTGGTGAATTTGGAGAAGATTTCATTGGTGATAAAGAAGCGCCTTTATATGAAGCAGCAGAACTAATCATTTTGTTTGTAGATTAACAGTTTTCATCAGTAGTAAGAGCAGGATACGTTCTAAATCCTGAAGAACTTGTTAGCTAAATTTAATTTTGATTTTGTTATTCAATTTTAATTGAAGTTGTCTAAGCTTAAGATGATAATAAATCTAAATTATTATTTGAATTTACACTGTCAATAGTGTTTTTTTCATTTAAATAGGTATATTTAGAATCTATGCTACTGCTTTTTTTGAGTATTTCATCAGAATTATTTACAAATATTTTAGGAATTTCCTTTACAGTATTTTATATATCTATTGCTTCATTCATTTAATTACTTTCCTTTTAAATAGAAGAGTTACCTTTTTGACGCTCTGTTATTTTACTTCTAATTATTTTATCATATTAGTCTTGTTTCTTTAGATAGCGCTAAGATAACTTAGTAATTTTATCAACAGATTTGTTTGGTGAGTTGCTGTAAATGTTTTTTCTGTTATTTTAATATTATTAATTTTCATGACTCAGATCTTTTCTAAAAGCATTTTGTATTTTTTATTTTATTAAATTGATTCTCATTTTTACTTCTTTCACGTTCCTATTATAAAGAAATTCTAGCTTGTTTTCTATGACATTACTGCCACTTTTATGCTCAGCTTTTAGCTTTTCCACTTGCAATAATAATTCTTCTAATTTCTCAGGATTATATTTAGTTTAAAAATACTAAACATCAAGTAAATCCTATAACTCCTCCAATTCTTCAAATTCATTTTGTCTTATGACTTATTATTTGTTTTAATTATGCTGAGTTTACTATTTCTAATTTATTAATGGACTCTCTAAATCTTCTGGTTATATATGTGTGATAGAAGTTTAAGATTTATGCTTATCTCTTTTGTATACAAAGCTATTTAGTTATTCTTATAACAAATTTGATTGCTATACAATGCAAGATAGAGTTTTACTGTGTTAACTATTTCTTGTAAATTTCTTTTCTGGTTGTTTTTAGCCACCCAAAGAAGGATTAAATTGTTCATTTTATATTATTTCACTCATCAATTACAGCTTAATCGTTTAAGTTGGAGATTAATTATTTGATCTTTAAATAGGACTTATATTGGAATCAGTTAAGAATTCATTATGCTTTTCATTTTATTAAAAATTTTTTTCTGGGATTGAGATACTATTTTATGTGCTAACTAATCTTATTAGCTTTGGTTGTGGATATGGCGGTTAACTATTTGGCACTTCTATTTTTTGCTATTTATTATTGGCATCTTCTTCCTCATCAATTTATTTTTAATCGATTTAATGTAAAGTGCTTAATATTTTAGAAGGTGTTTCTTAGCTGCTAGAAATAAGTTTAAATTTCAATTGTGGCTGAGAGCTTTAAACGACAATACTTTTGCTGCTGTTTACTATATTTTCAAAATCTGCAATCGAATTATTTGTGTTAGGTAATTTTATTGAAGGAGAACAATAAAATAATAAACTCTTCCTTTCATTGTTATTAATTTTATTCTAATTTTCAAACTAGCCAGCTTTTGGACTTTCGCAAGATAAATAAGAGCCTTGCTATGACAGTTGTTTAATAAAATATTATTAACTTGCATTTTTCTATCTTAAAGGTGAAGTCTATTAAGAAATCGGAGAAGCGCAGCTTAGATCAGTATAACTTTTTTAGGATTAAAGCGATTATATAATTTTTAAATCGGATTGACGTTAGTTGTTGATAGCTTCTTTTAATTTCATTGTCTCTTTATAATTTTATTCAATGTTTTCCATGTATTCTTATCTTCTTTCGATTTTGAAAGTCACAGATTTCTTAAAAGCCATAAAAAGTTCAGGAAATTGTTTCAAGAAAACAGTGAAAGTCTTTTATATCATAAAAAAATGTGTTATTAATTTAAATAAAATTATTTTAGCTTATTTAAATCAAATAAAAATTTCTTACAGAGCTTTGCATAAAGTATAAAGAGGTTTTCATACTACTAGCAACTGCTGAATAACTGCGATAATGTTTTGATTTAAAATCAAATATCAGAAATTCCTCTCCAAAATATTCTCCTTAACTCAAAGTTGCAAACTTTTTATATAAAATTAGAAAAATCTTAAAAATGAAAGATAATTTCAAATTAATTAGCTTCTTACAGGCGTATTTTTTTTTATAGTTTATACTTTTCTCATCATAGATATCCCATTTTCTCCCTCACTGCTTACTTACTCTTAATATGTTAATGTTTTCTCTAACTATTCATTTAATAATTAAAAATTAAATCATTCATTTTCTAAAATATCAAACATAAAAAATTTTATTTAAATCATTTATTTTTTAATATTTTTGGAAATTCAAAAATTATTTTAAAAAATTTTTTGTTAAAACTCTAAAAAATTGAATGAAATGCTTTTAAAATAAATATTTTGAAGTATTTAATAAATATTTTTTTTTTTCATAAGATTTTTACTTTTATTATTTATTCAATTTAAGAAAATCATAAATGAATAAGTTATTTTCATTCCAAAATTAATAAAATTTATGAATAAATTAGAAAACTTTTGTTTAGGATATTGAAAATAAATTTGCTTTCTAAAAAAATCTATTAACTAAAAAAAAATTAATTGACTCAATTATTTTGTTTTTATTTTATGCTGGTAATTATAAAACTAATTTTTGATGAAAAAAATTAATCTAAATTTCTATTTGTGATTAATAATTGATTATTTTAATAATTAAACAATAGATGTGCTTTGCAATTTAATTAAATATTTGATGGTGGTGCATTTGTTAAAAATTGTGGATATTAATCATTTAAATTATTACCTTCACATCGCCCTTCTTTATTAGGTAAATACCTTCAGAGAGAGTTCCTTGCCTGAAGATATATTCATTTTTCTAAACTTTTATTTTTTAGAAATTGTAAAATATTTTTTTGAGAGCTTAATTTGTAAGCTCTGGAAGCATGTGATCTTTTAGGAAGTTGAATTTTCTTTCAAGTTCTCTTCTGTGTATATTTCCAAGCAACAATTGATAGTCTTCTTTCTCCATAATTCCGAATTCACAATCTTCAGCACACAATATGAAAGCACTTCTTGGTTTTCCATCAAGCAAACCTAATTCTCCAAAAGTGCAGCCTTAATTGAGAGTTCCTAAAACATATAATAATAAATGTATTTTGACGAAATCTTTATAATTAATTTTAAAATAAATAAAATCAAAATAATTTAAATGTGTGGTGGTCTATTCTTTATTATTATTTAATAATAAATTTTTACTAATGCATTCTGATAAAATAGTAAAGTGATCATTAATGCTTTTAAATAATTACTTTGATAATAATACTTAAAGACAAAGCTAGGAAAGTGGATTAATTTTTCAGGACATTAAATATTTTCAGCATTTAGAGAGCCAAAAATTTTGGAAAACATGTATTTTTCACAGAATCTCTTTCTGATTTGATTTATGTGTGTTTCTTCTTCATTTTAAATGTCTTGCTATTCAATTTTTGCTTAATCTTCTGTGTATAAACTAAATCCTTTGCTAAGAGAGAGCTATTTGTTAATTTTAGGCTAAGTTAATGAGTTCAAATCGCTATTTTGAGAATTTTATAATGCCTGACCTGTCATATTATTTGTGGTTGTATTGTTAACGAATTTGCTAAACATAGAAGATTTATGAATTATTTGGGTTTATGATGATTGGTTACTATCGTTAGAAATCGCATTATCTTCTTATTAATTTTCTTTTGTGGTTACATCAAGCTATTTATCATCAGTTTGTGGTAAATTTTCTAATTTATTACCTCTTTATTTTATCAGATTAAACATCCTTTGAAATCTTTATTAAGATGTTTTCTTAGAAGATTTATTAAATATTTCTAAGCCATTTTCATCGCCGCGTTAATCGTTTTAAATTTTGTTAGCTTATTCTTAATTTAAATCATTCGGATTGATATTTATTGATTCAAAAATTTATATTGAATTTCTTCCATTTTGTTAACTTTAATTTTAGCTTATTTTGTTACTATCTTTTTACTCCGAAGTTTCTGAGCCATTTAATTTCATATTCAAAGGAGAGTCATTATGACTTTTAACTATGCTCTTTTTATGAGCTTAGGTAGAGTCAATCAGACCAGAATTAACTCTAGTTAAAGGACTACTTTAACCTCCTCCTTAATTATTTAGTATGCTATTTGATTTAAAAAATGATATCTTATTAGTAGGAGATTATGATTAACTTGAACTAATACTATTAGCCCTTATTTATTCTTTTTGAGTTAAATAAAGAGGCGCTATATTTTTTTCTTCTTGAAATTTCATCTCCTCTTAAATCTCGTTTTATAAAATTTCTGCAGACTTAGTTAAATAAACAATAACTGATCCTTTAAGGAGCACAAAAAATTTATCAGCTTTAGCACCTTTTAATGATAAATAAATAATTTATATTCAAAAAATAATGAAAAACATTTAATGAAATTATTTTTTTATTTAAAATTTTTAATTATTTGATGGAATAAAGTCGTAGGTATTTATTTTGGTTTAGAATTTGTGAAAATAGAATTAATAAAAAAATATAATTTCAAATTTTAATTTGATCTGATGGAATGGCTAGCAAGAATAATTTATTTTGGGTATGAAAGAAAAAGGAGATTGCTTGCATCTTAAATTTTACATACTTTGTAATGCTATTAAAAAGGTCGATAATTGAGAGTAAGTGAAAATAGAATACTTTTTATCACTTTTATTGTCAAATCAAACAAGGGAAATTCAAAGTGTAAGCACAAAAAAGTAGTAATTTAGATAGCGAAGTAAATTAATAAATTTGAGTTTGTAAAAACCAATAATTAAATTATTGATAAATAAATCATTTCAATAATAAACAATTAATTAAATAAATAATTCATTTGTCATTATATTTTACAGACAGCTAGCTGAATTAATTTATTTATTTATTAAGACTAAGAAATTGCACTGTAAAGTGGCATTATATTATAAAAATATATTTTATATTATTAAATCGTTTTTCTCATTTTATAAAATTTAAAACTTTAGAAATAATGCTTATGTTAATATTTCATACCGTATTCAATAATTGCCTGTCCTTTTTAACTAGCTTCATACTTCATTTTACTGCAAATCTTATAGTGGAGTTTATTCCTAACATTAACCTTTTTCGAGTTAATGCTCTTAAAAAATTATAATTCTTCTGTCAATTTCTGCAATGCTTATATTTCATCATCTCTCCTATCTTAAGGGTCAAGCTTTAAGATCATAGATGCTACCTATTTATTTATAATATTATTTCCTATATATGCTATTAACAATTTTTTCTATCAAAAATCTGTATCGCTACTCATCTAACAATAAAATTAACTAACTAAAAATATAATGTGTCGATTCAAATTCCAATCATTACTTTTAAGTAATCGTCTTTAGGTATAAGGGAAAGATCAGATGTGATCTCCCTGTACATAAAGCCTGCTTTTCTTTAAGATTGCTACATTTAAAATACTTAAACTGATGTATATATATATATTACTATTAACAATCTCTTGTTGCTTAGAAAGATAAAAAATATTAATTGTTTTTAATTATTAAATAATATATCTATCAAAAGACTTATTTGTTTAAACATATGCCAATTATTTAAGATAAATCTAAAATTGGTGATTATAAATAACTTAAGAGATCCTACTTTAAGTAAATATACCTTGCAATATTAAATCAAAACACATTTTTTTCAATTAATAATGAATTAGATTATTTGAGAAATTTACACTACTTTTCTAACTTTATTAAATAATAATTTGTTTACTTTTTGAAGAGCATTAACTATTACAAACCATAATCTCATTAACAAAAAGTTTATTTTTGTAAATAACTCGATATTTATTGCGAATATTAAAAAGAATTTCTACATTTTTTCTTATCAAAACAAAAACATGAATAAAATGGTTGAAAAACAAAATCATCCTATAGTCTAAAAACCATTTAAAATTGAATAATTCCATTAAAGACATAATCAAAATTTAAATAATATATAAAATATCAAAGGATTTAAATAATTTAAATTAATTTATTCAATCAATTGTCTAATAAATATTAATAATATCAATATTTGTTTTTTTTATGGATAACAAAACAAACACTAAATATAAATTATTAAAAATATCTTTTTTTGTAAATATTCTTTTACTAGCTGACTTCATAGATAGTAAAAAATAATATAAATTAATAAAATCTGCAAAAATCAGCTGACAGCTTTCTCAAATATAAATAAATAATATTCTGTAACAATAAGAACAATATTCATAAATTATTTTTTGATATATTATTCAAAAATCTAATAAAGTGTGAATTTCATCAATATTCTAATAGAAAAGAACCAAAACATATAAACATATAAATACTGATTTTATTCCATAATTTAGTTCTCAATATAAATAATCAAATAATGATATAAAAATGAATTGATAATAAAATAATATTTTAAATTAAATAATTAAATAAATAGTCCATTTTATAGCGATAAGTTGATAATTGCTGGAATTCAATCTAAAATAAAATATTTTAAAACATTAAAAAAAGTAAATATTTTATTCAATTTATAATTTTATTTTTAATATCACTGCTAATGAAAAAAACTTAAGTGTGATGATATTTAAATAAATTTTTATTTTAATAAAAATGAATAAAATATTATATCTAGAATATTTGCATTTAATAAAACCAAAGCTTAATTATTTATTTATTTATGACTTACTTCTACTTATTTATACTTAGATTATATTAATTATATAAATAGGATACAGTATCTTTTTTAAAAATTGATGAAAGATACATTGATTTTTAATTAAAAGGTCAATAATTGATAATTATCAACATAATCATTATATTTCAATTAAATATTTAGGAACTCAAATAATAAAAAAGGAGATGGAGGTTTAGAATTAAACAATCGATGATTAAATAAGACCATAATTAAAGGTACTTAATATGCAAATATTTTCATGACAATTTTAATTAAAATTATTTTTTTATATTTAAAATAGTAAATGAATTGCTTCTGTATGGTAAATCAAGTAAAATTTGTGAGACTAGAGAAATATTTGTAGGAAAGAATCAATAAAATGTACAGCTACTATTAACACTATGAAATATTAACTTTAGCTACTGTTATAATAACACATCATGTAGATAGATAGTGTTTATATGCTATTTATCCGTTTTTTATTATAAACATAATGGTCAATGCTATTTACTTTAACATAATTTCTACTTACTATGATAATTTACTTTACAATATTATCTTTTTCATCCTAAAAATTGCTTATCCACTTCCTTTTATGGAGGATGTAGATATCTCTTAGTATAACTCACTTTACTTCTTAGTTTACTGCTTTTATATTCACAGATTTTACTATGTTATTCAACTTATTTCAATCTATAACTTCCAAAGGCTGAGAAGAGCGAAGAACATTGTTTTCATCAAAAAGTTTGAAGCATCTTTGTTAAACAAAAAAAATGATAAGAATTAAAGATAAAGTGAGACTATTTGGAAATAACTCTATAATAAAAATAGAAAAGCTGCACTATAACTCTCAAATAGAATAATACAACAAACATTTGATGATCTTTTTCTTTAAATTAAATACTTATTTCACTTTAAACCTTTTCTTATTACCTTGTTTCTAATAGTCATAACAACTATGATCCTTTCATATCTATTCTAATAATCAGAGGATTCATATTATTCTTCAAATCCTACTCAAGGTAAATTCTAAATGCTTCAATAGTTTATAAAATTATTTAAATGGTTTATAAAATAATATTAAAAGTAAAGCAATTAATAAAATAAATAATTAAATTTGAAAAAAATATTTTTGAGCAAATTCATTTTTTAATTATTTTTCAAAATAATTTATAGCAGAAAACTTGGATGTAAGAGAATATTAAAACAGCTTGTATTTTGTAAGTATCACTTTTAGGACAATAGGTTATGGTGACATATCACCTAAAACTTTGATTGGTAAGATAATAGCCTGTATTACTTCTTTGTGGGGTATAATATTTACATCTTTATCTCTTTATATCTTCAACCAACACTTTGCATTAACTGAAAAAGAAAAAAAGGAATTAAATATTGATAATATTCCAGAATCAGAGTAAAATTCTGAGGAACGTTAAAAATAGTAAACCATTAATCAATATTAAGAAATCATAGTGAATTTAGGTAGAATCAGAAATAAATTTAATTTAAAATCATAACTTCAATATAATTAATTTGTTATAGACTAAATTCAAAAGAACAACATTATAAAAAGAATATAAATTTTATAAAAATTTAATTATTGAAAATGCATAAATTTATATATCAATGTAAATCTCTTTATTTATGTCTCTATTAAATTTAATGGGTTTTTAAAAATTATGTATTTTTTAAAAAATAATTTTTTAAATCATAAATTTTTCTAAAAGATTTAAATGATGAATTATTCTATTTTATATAGAAATTAATTGATGTGTTTACTTTTATAATATATTTATAGACAAAATAATTTGTAAAATCATCAATTTAGATATAATATTTAAACATTATAAAATATTTATTTTTAATTTATTTTTATTAGTTTTTAATTGATAGACTTTATTCAACCATCTAACATTCAGGCTTCAACAATTTATTTTTATTCTAAATAGTCCTGCAGAAATTCTTCCCAGGTTAATTTGTAATCTTTTTGTGAAAAGATTTAGTTATTGATAATATCACTAAATTCTCCTTTAAGCAGTTGTTTTTCTTTTTTTAAGAGAGTTATTAAAGGTTCTACCCTTTCTAAGAGCATTAGGGATGCACCATAGCTTTACTTGGATAGAGCATTTATATTTATTTAAAAATTTTTAGGATTTTTTGTATCTTATGCCATAGCTACATAACTTTTATACTATGAATAGAGGTGAATTAGCTCTTGTCTTGATAGACTAGTTTTTTATTCTAATTCATTTAGGTTTATATCTGATATTGGTTTGTAAAGTCTATTCATTACTCTATAGAAATCTTTTTAGTTTTACAGCTTGTTATAGAATATTATGTCTACTTTTTTATCTGATTCAGCATCTTTCTTTGAAGTCAAAAACGCATTGTCTAATGCCTCAACATTTTTGTCTTTTGGAAATTTATCTACATTTTTAAATAATTCTTTAACATTAATTTAAAAATTTAAATTTAATTTTTTTACCTATTTTAGAGAAAGAGTCAACTCTTTTTAGTGGTTTGTGGATATTTTAATTTTAGTTTTAAGAGGGAAACTAGATTTTTTTAAATGGCATTTGTTTGAGAGATTGTTTATTATGGGAAGGATCAGAAGAAATTGTTTATAATAGTCTAAGAACATGAGAGCGACTGTTCAAAACTTAAGAAATATCTTCTTTTGTTTTAAGCTTATTTAAATGATTCACAAACTAAAATTCTTCTTCCTGTTCTAGCAAACTAATCCTATGCATTTTTCGGAGTGAGGAAATCAAGTTAGTTTAGCCTGTTATCATTTCGTCTATGTATAATTAATCGTTTTTATCTTCCTACTATTGGCTTTTTTCTGTATTCAGCATTTCATTTATCTAATACTACTCCTTTACCATCTTTACTTGTGGTGGATTTGCATGAAAGAATACTAAATTGCAGTACTCTGGTAATTAATTTATAAGTTTCATCTACTACCCATATCCAGTAAAGAAGTAAAGCTGTGTCTTAGGGTCGATTCCTATCAATCTTTTAAGCAACTATATCCATATTTAGGTGTCTCTCTATAATTCAATATAATTACTTGAAGTTTTATAAATAGGAATAAAATAAGATTCAACAATAAAAATTTTTTTTCCTTTATTTTTATTGATATTGCCAGATGATTCAAATAAGTTGTTTTCGTCTCTACAATAATCTTCAGCCAATGATGAGACATCTAAATGTCCGACTTCATTTTCAGTTGATTTTACTTTGACATAGATTACAAATATTTATCTTAAATCTATTTTTTGGTTAAGACTGTCAATCATTATTTTCTTTTCCATAAAATTTCTTATCTGATGAGCTTTTAATCCTTCATTTGTATCAAATCTAGTCATTTTACTTTTTTTGATGTAATTTAATTAATAATCTAGCTTTATACCAGCAGGATTCTTCGTTATCCATATTTGATTTTCCATACTAAATTATGTTTTAAGCGAAGTTTATGATTTGTTTTGCTTCTAGCCTTCTCTTGGCTCTTCTGTAAGACTTCTTCCTTTAGATTTTTGAGGGCTATTAAGTTACATGTTAGGAAGCCTGTCTAATTATTCCTTTTTCAAGGGATTTCTATTATAAAAGTCATCAAAATTAACTTAGCTTTCTTGTAAAATAAAATTTTTTTCTTCTTTTTAATTATTAATTTCCTCTTCATCCACTGTTTAACCTATGTGCTTAAATTTTTTCTATCTCTCACTCTTGTCAGTATGTATTCGATTTAATTGAATTAAATCTCTTTCCGTTTCTGAGCGAGCTAAACTGTAAGATTTAACTCGCGATATGACTGGAAGTCTAGCACTCTTTGGTGATATCAGTTCAATATTATTCGCTTCTTAACGCTACATGCTTTTAAACTTTTCAAAATTTAATTGCCTGAGATTCTTATTTGTATCAACAACAATGCTATCTTTTTTATTTTAGTTTTTATTATTAAAATTTCCACTCAATTAATTGATAAGTTATAATTAATTTTATTCCCCTTTTTCTTGTATAACTTCTTTTGCTTTCACTGTTCCAGTTTAATAAATCTTTTACCATTTATTTTCTAAATTATTATCTTGCAAATATGCATGCATTGAATAAGATTTTTTGGTGCTATTGCTGAAAATAGTATTTTGCTAATTAATTGGAATCTAAAAATCTTAATTTATATGGAGAATATCAGATTAATTAGAGGATTTCTTTTTAACTATTTTTAAATTTAGATCAGAAAGCCTTACATGCTGTGGACTTTAAGAAGCCATGCTGATAGGAGAGAGTAATTACTTCTTCTTATTATAGCTTAACACACTTTAATCTATTAAATTTTTTCTTTAATTGTCTGGACTCAAGTGCAAAGACTTGGATTTCCTTCTATCTACTATTTTTTAATCCATTTATTTATTAGCATCAATAGAGTTTTACTAAATTTATTTCTTTTAATTCTTAAAATTATCATGTTTTATTGAATCGACTTGTTATTGAGAATATAAATATTTTTTTCTGTACTTTTCTGGTGTTTCCTCCCAGTCAAGCAAAGCTGTAAACTCGTGCTTATTTTTTTTATCTTCATTTGATTATGTATTTTATTATTAAGTGTTTTAGCGGTTTGAATCAGAGTGCTTTATTTAATATTTGGGATTAATAAGACCTTTAGAAGGAATTTAAGAGTTATTTAAACTCTGCATATAAAGAGTCATCAACGATTTCTGATTTAAAAAATCTTTAACATCTTCAATAACATTTAAAATTTAGCTTTTGTGATTACAAAAATTATTTAAATTCTATTAATTTGTTGAAAGTTATGGTCTCTTAAAATGATTATCTGATAATTTTTCATTCATATAATCTTCTGCCTTCATTTTTATCTTTGTATTCAAATCGCTCTTCACTTTTTTGTCTTTTTCCTTGAAGTTAATTGAATAAAACTGTTTATCAACATTACTGATTTTCGGCTATTCTTATCTCTCTGGGCCTAAATTTTCAAATAAAACATAATGTGCCAAATTGATTAAAACCAAAGATAATCTTTACTTTTCTTCTCTTGAATCTGGCTGATTAGCTTTTCAGAGTTGATTTTCTTCACTTAATTTTAATTTGGCTGTTAAGCTGCATGCTCCTGATTAGCTCTTTAGTCATTTAGAGATTTCCTTTAATAAATATGTTAATTTGTAGCCATAGCAAACAAAAAAATACAATAATTAACAAAAGCTCTATTTTTGCTACTTACTTAATAATTACCGAAAATTAGCTTATTATCTCACCAAAAATTATTTAATAAATGCATCACCAAAATTTATATAATTAATCTTAAGGGCTGTCTTCATAAAAATTAATCTTTCTAAACCAATGCTCACTGCATATAATATATTCAATATAACCACTTCTTTCAATCTACTTTCAAAACCTTAATATCCCACCAACTAACTAACTAAATTAATAAATAAATTATTAAACATTTTTGTTTTATTTTTCAATTTGGCTAATCATTAATTTTGTAAAAAAATCACTCACTTATGACTCAATAAACTTCATTTATTGCTATGAAATCCAATCAAAAAAGTATGCATATAAATATAGAATATAAACAGAATGTGTATATAACAATTATTTCTTATTTTTAATTAATTTTATCTACCTACATTTCTAATTATTTTAATTAATTTAAAAACAGTGTAGTTAAAAGTAGTGAGCCATTGAACAATAAATTATCAAAAGTTCACTCCTTTCAAAATATAATTATGAAATCTAATTAAAAAATCAGCCATGTAAATACTCAATAAGACAAAAAATGTGAAAATAATATTTTATTATTTAATTAAATTTACATCTCTCTTTTTTTTAATTATTTTTAATTAATTTCAAAAAATCGTAATTAAAAATAATGAAATATTCAACAATAGATTATCAAAATTGAACTCCTTTCACTTATTATTATGAAAACTAATTAAAAAATTAGGAATTTAAATACTTAATAAAGATAAAAAATGCTTTTTATAATATTTTATTTTTCAATAATTAAACCTTTCTTTATTTCTAATTAATTAATCTTTAAGTAGTGTAATTAAAAACAATGAAATATTCAACAATAGATTATCAAAATTGAACTCCTTTCACTTATTATTATGAAAATTAATTAAAAAATTAGCAAATTAAATACTCAATAAAGAAAAAAGTTCTTTTTATAATATTTTATTTTTCAATAATTAAAGTTTTCTTTATTTCTAATTAATTTATTAAATTTTAAGTAGTGTAATTAAAAACAATGAAATATTCAATAATAGATTATCAAAATTAAACTCCTTTCACTTATTATTATGAAAATTAATTAAAAAATTAGCAAATTAAATACTTAATGATAAAAAATGCTTTTTATAATATTTTATTTTTCAATAATTAAACCTTTCTTTATTTCTAATTAATTAATTTTTAAATAGTGTAATTAAAAATAACGAAAAATTCAACAATAAATTATCAAAAACTCATTCATCTTATATATTTCTAACTTAGACAACAAAACCATATGAAAATAGAAATAAACAAAAAGTAGATATTATAATTTTTTTCTTCTTTTTTTTTAATTAAAATTGTATCTTTGTTTGTCGTTATTTTTTAAAATAGTGTAGTTAAAATAACGAATCATTCAATCAACTAAAAATCTAAAAAAATTAATAATTTATTTCTCTAATGTAAACATAAATTAATCATAAATAAATAACACATAATTTTCTAATATAATGTAACAAGAATATTTTTTATTTTTATTCTTCAATCGAGAGCAATTTTAAACCATTCTGATTAAAGTATTTACTCAAAATTAGGCCTTAAATCTGGATTCTTTTATAGTATTTTAGATAGCAATTCTTTTAATTCTCCAGAAAAATATGATGGAAATTTTAGAGAACCCTTTTTATAAAATAAATTTTAAAGGAAAAATATTTTGAAAACAATTTTTTGTATTTAAATATAATTAAAATTATAAACTAATTTAAATTGTTAATAAAATATTTACTGAACAAACCCTCCTCATTGTTTCATCATATGTTTCGCTCTCAAAAGGAGGCTAACCAGAGCATAATTCATAGCATAAAACTCCTATACTCCAAATATCTACTCTAAAATCATGGCCTTTTCTATTAAACATTTCTGGAGAAATGTAGTCTAAAGTTCCACAAAATGTTTGTCTTTTTTCTTTTATAGCGTTATTATTTTCAATAGCCAAACCAAAATCTCCTAATTTAACATCGCCCTTAAATTAAAACAGAATTTATTAGTTTTAATAGTAAAAAAATACGTAGATACCTTTGAAAGAAGTATATTTTCTGGCTTTAAATCTCTATGAATAACATTATTCTTATGTAGAAAAATCAAAGCAGAAATTGTTTATTTTATATATTTAGCAGCAAGATTCTCTGGAATGCGCTTCTCTGGCTATAAAAATTTAAGATAGAATATTAATTTTTATTTATTTAAAGAAATAATATTTATTTATTTTTTATGAGTTCGTTAGAATTATGAATTCATTTAGAACTTCTTAGAAATTATTAATTTTTTGATTGAAACTATGATTGATTATGCATGTAAATGTGTTTTTTATTTATGTATTTTATAAGCAGAATGAATTAATAATTTCAAAAGTGAATTCTGCAAATTGTAGAGTCAGTAAATTAAAAAATAATTGTTATGAATGTGTAAGTAAGTTCTAATATTTATGCTAAATTTAAATAGAAAAATTATTATAAACCAAATATTTACAAAGGAGCGTGTCAAAGTGTATAAATCGCCTTATTCTGCATATTCCAAAATTAAATAAATGTGATTTTAATCATGAAAAAACCCATATATTGCCAAAATATTTGGGTGATCACTCCCATTCTAAAGTAGAATTTCCCTCCTTAGCTGATCTTCTAATCCATATTCTTTTAAAAAGTTTTTTTGCATAATCTTTAAGGCTATTATAAATCCACTAAGCTTTTCTCGTGCTAAATATACTTCTGAGAATTTACCCTTTCCTAAACAAGGGCCTAATTCAAAATCATCTTTGCACCACTTATCCTTGCCTATAATTTTAATATTATGTCAAAACAAAAAAACAATATCTAAAATCAATTATTTATATCATTCAAATGTATAATTTTGATTAAATTGAAAAGAATATCTACCAAGAATGTTAATTTATCCATTAACTTCATTATTAGGAGATGCAGCGTTCATAATATTTCTTTAAATACTCATTTTTCGATAATTGCTCTCTAAATCACTAAATAAAAAGATACTTGTAATTTTTAATTATTGACTTCTAAATTAAGAAAATTAGTTTACTTTAACTTAAATTAATTAATTAATTAAATGAATGAATGATATATATTTATTTAATTCTTTAATGAAAAATAATCCAAATAATAACAAATTTATAATATTCCAATGATCTTTTCCATTTAAATCAAAAATTTATACTTCATAATATTAATTAATATTATAAAATTAAAAGTCGGCAACAGAACCATCCATATTTTTGTATCTTAAATATTCAAAAATTTTAAAAAATTCTACTTTCTTTTAAGTTTTGATTAAAAAATATGTTTTAATTAATTAATAGATATATAGATACTAAATAAATAAGTTAATAATTAAGTAAATAAATCTAACTAAATATGAGGATCAATTTGAGCAATTATAATTATAAGGTAATTTAAAGAGGAGATTTTTGCTACTGCTTTAGAGATGAATAAAGTAAAGTTTTAAATATTATAAAGATTTTTGCAAGATTTTGGATAGAGTGAATTGCCTATTTAATTTACAAAAATCAAAATAAAATATATGTTAATTACATATTATATAAAGCTAAATAAGCTTAAAATATCTTTATTTTTTTGTTTTTACAAAGCTTTAAATTGGAAAATTATAAATTTGAAATAAAATATACCTTAACTAGCTTTACTTGTAATTTTTTTTGAAAAAAATAAATTTTTAAAAGTTTTTAGGTTAAAATTACAAAAAATATATTGTTTTCTTTGATTTTTGTGGAAATTTTTTTAGAGAAACCATAGTGTTTATTTTAAATAAAAGATTTAATTCTTATCATTTTCTTTAGTTTTTATCTAAAAAATGAGTTGGAAGTAATCGATTTTCATTGCTAAAAACAAAGATCAAAATGAAACTGATGATATTTTAAACTTTACAGAAATTATTTTAAATTAAACTTAATCAAAATAAACTAAATTCTAAAATATATAAAAATATAAAGTTGGCTCAAACATCAATATTAAGTATTATTTATTTTAAATCAAATAAATTATACAGTTTACCAAAAATACTTTTGGATTCATTGCATTTAATACATTTTTGAATCAGCAAGATCATAAAAAATGACTTTATTAACTCTATGAATACCATTTCTGTTAGAAAAGATATTATAAATAGGATTATAAATTAATTCGACTCACTTGGAGTTTTACCACTAGATACTGCCAAAATGACATAGTAGTAAACTAAACTTATAACTATTTGCAAAACTAGAGAAACTGTTTTACCTATTGAACCCTTTTTGAATGTATATATAATTCCTAAAAAAGCAATCTTCATTAATGAGCTGTTTATTATGGCTATTATTACCTGCTAAATGAGCATATTATAACCTTAGAATAATATTGAAATAACTAGGGTGTGAATTGTTTTTAAGTAAAGAAGAGTGAATCTTAATGGTCTTTAAAGGATATCATCAAAAATGTAAAAAATACTAAAAAATTAATGAAAAATTGCTACCTTTTTCGCTTTAGAAAGTTACAAATAAACATTTATTTTTTAGATTTCTTCTTCATCTTAAACCTATTTTATATAGGTTTATGAGCTTGTTTGAGTTTTGATTTTTTCAACACTTTTAGAACTTGATTATGATTTAATTATTTGCAATTAGTTAGATTCAGCCTTCTCTTCTTTCATTTAAATATTTTGTTCTTAAAATATTTTTAAGTTTCTTTGGATTTGTTATGTTTATAAATTGAGGAATTTTTATCTTTTTCTTCTTCTATTAAATTAATTATCTATTTTTTAATCAGGAGGTGATAAAATCTATTGATTTTACTAAATTTCTGGTTAGATATTTTCGTTACTCTTAAATAGATGAGTAAAAGGAGAGTGCTGGAATACATCATTATTTATCATTTAAGAATTTTCACAAATATTTTAGTTATTATCATCATCAATTTATTATTATTGTTATCTCAACTCTTATATCTATTCATTTTACAATTAATTATTTAGTTCTTGATTATGAACTTTTGAGTATTTTTATACTGCTTACTTGTCTAAGAGTCTTCCAATTATAAATAACAAAATTTCTATCAGTGTGAATATTATCAATAACCAAAATATTATATACATATAAAAGTTCTCAAAGCTTGCTATATTTAATAGACCTTATTCTCCAAATGCTGTCTACAAATTTTTATTTTTTGAGAACATGTCTTCAATATCTTCAATTATGGTTGTTGGTTTTAAGGAGGCACAGCAGCATACGTAGCGATTTTAAGCAATTTTGGTGATACCGCAATTTTATTTGCTCCACGAAAGATTATTTTGTTAAAGGCATGTCATATTATATAACTTACTAGAATTTGTATTATTAAACTAGTAAAAAATAGTAGACTGATTTAAGATTTTTTAAGAAGAATAATTATAAATCTATGGTGATATTACTTCATTCTTAGAGTAAGTAAAGTTTTAACTAATATTTTTGAATTTCTATGTGTACGCCTAGAATTCTGAAGTATTTTCATAAATATTTTATTTGTAATTGTTTCTTGAAATACTAAATATGCTTGTTTAATTTTCAGAATTGTAATCATCTGTACTTAGAACATATTTGAATAGGTTTTTCTCTGTTATTTTATCTGACAAAAGAGTGGATAAGTCACCATTTAGAATAATTTATCCTTAGTTTGGTAAGCTAATATTATTAAGCAGATTTCCAATCTAACTTGATATTTTATCGTATTACTAAAAATCTTCTTATGAGTTATTACTATTCAAACTAACGCTTGAGTTTAAAATTTTAAAGGAGTCTACTATATTTTAAATTTAAATGTCATTATTTTGTTGTAAATGACTCAGATTACTATTTTGTATGCTTGAATTAGTATTTTGAAGTAGTGTTTAAAGTTAATCAAATATTTTATTTTTCTATGTGGTAAAATTGCTTTATTAAGATGAGCTAAAGACTAGTTATGATAGCTAAGCAGTTACTTTGTTTGCAAATGTAGACAAAAGGGAGAATTTAGGTATTTAGAAAGACAATTGCTATATATTTTAAATCAGTAGAGTTTCTAAATCATTCATTTGCTATGAAAATTAATTGTTTTTACTGATGTCTTCTGCAATAATGCTTAAAGTCACTAGTTAGTTAGTGATTTATATATTTGAGCTCTATTAAACTTACAAAATCTGTTGATTTACCAGTTTATAATATTCGTCAGCTGATTTATTCTAAGCTTGAACCTATATTGTAGAAGAGGTATTATAAACTCCGAGGTAAGAATCCATAACCTGTACCATAAAAACTAGATTTCCTTAAGGCAGTATTGTTTAAATTGAGTTGTTTATCGTCTGATCTTATATCTACCTTCTTAAAATATTCCAAGGTGAAATTAATTCTTGATTGGCATCATCTGCATTATTGTAATAGAAGAACTAATAAGTTAGAGGAAGATCTTCATCTGTACAACTCAATAATTAAATCTAAAAGATAGTTTCAAGCGCTATTCCTTTTTAGGGATTTATACTTAAAACGCAATTCTGAGGTGGAATATTAATTTAAATACTAATTGTAGACAAGCTTGGCATAACATATAATGGATTATACACAGAAAATCTTATTTAAAGTGTGGGCTTTGAGGGATCTATATTTTAAAAATAGTTCCAAATTCTGAATCTAATTTGGAAATAATCAAATTTGATTGCTGCAACTGGATTATTATCATATAATATAGCTCCTGCATAAGACAAGTAGTCTGATGAAACATTCTCACCATAATTTATTTAAAAATTAAGATCATCATTCAAATTTATTTTTCCATTAATGTGTGTTGCTGTAAAAATATTTAGTGGAGGAATATCTAATTCTGTGAAAATACAGGTAGTCGTGAAATTTGATTACCTAGAATCTTTTTATCCAACAACTGTAAACTAAATTATAGTGTATGGCTAAAAGGTTTTAGCAGGAAACGCAATACTACTGGCCCCTTGTTGCAATTAAATCTACTTATTCTAGTAATCATAGCAGATATGGTCATTAGAGGATAGGCTATTACACTTCCAACTAAAGTTGATATTTGAAGCTTAATTTGGATCTTGAATTTCATAATCTCTCGAATCTGTATTTAAGACCATTTTATTTTAATAGCCTAAATTAAGACTTGAGCCTCCAATAATTTGCAGATACAAATCTGTAATTTAAATATTAACTGAGATATTTTAGATGGCAGATATCTTACTATCTGAACTCAAATTCAAAATCAACTATTTTTAAAAATGATTAGTTAAATATAAATAAATTAATATTATTAATTTTTGAGTAGATTGAAGAGTTTTATTTTAAATTTGAATATTAAAATCTATATTTTTATGAATAATTTAGGAGGTATTTATTTTTCAATATTTTTTTAATATAAAAAATGTACACTCATATTAAAAGTTTAGTTAGATGCTAAGGAGTAAGGGAGAATGTCATATTGAAAGCTTGATTAATTGTATTGACTTAGACTTTACTTTTAAAGCTGGTTAGAAACGAGTTATAAATCAACAGGCTCATTAAAAAAAGTTATTTGGCCTAACTCGCATGTTTCTATGTAAAATTAAAAGTAGAAACTCAAGCTCATAGATCTATTTATTTATTTATTATTTTAAGAATAATTTTTTAAAATAATTATTTCATTTTTAAGTAAAATTAACCTATAAATTGGTGGATAGAGAGATTGCTAATAGTTGACTCTTATAAATTTTTATTTTTGATAAATAACAGTGAACATTTAAGTACCAGTTTAGTTAATCTTAAGTAAATAATTAAATTATATTGTTATGTTAATATTTGGTGGTAAGAATTTAGGGTCTATAATCAAACTAGTGTTTTTGTTTTAGCTTGCTTTTAATAATATTTCCTTTATACTTTCTTACTACTCGTTGCTTATGAACCTACAATT